TTAGATTTTGTACAAAATCTAAAACTTGATATGAGCAAATGCAGATCTCCAGAGACCTACACTGGAGATCAGCATTTGCCTCGTGAAGTCTGTAACAACTAAAGGAACTTTTCATTCAACAATGAACAAACAGGTGTTTGTAAAGGATCTTTAATCACAAATTTTAACAAAATTCAAATAAGCAAGATATAAGTTTTGTTCATAATCAGCAAACTATTCTCTATTTATTCCCAATTAGTCTTGCCAGGAGCTTTTGTTCTACGTGAGGAAGCAGTGGTTGAACACAACTTGGAAAGGATTCATACCTTAGTGAGATACATGGGACAATTCCATGCTTTCAACATCACAAAAGGACCAATAGCTAAGTTTGTTATTTTTGCCACTGTTCTCTAGATTTCAATAACAAAAAGAAGTACCTTGTCACAGGTTCCATAAAAGATATAAAACATAAAAACACTTCATGCCAATCAATATTAAAAAATTAACAACACAACTATCTATCAGTGTTACAGAAAATATTTATTTACATGAATGCTTTCAAAGTTTATAACTGTGCTCTTCAGGCAATATCATTCACAGAGAACAGAATACTACTATTTGAAAAATGGAATACACACCATAAAAAACATTTTTCAAAATTGTTGTTCCTCATGCACAAGCATGGAACATAATTGAAATATGTAAAATCACAGAATTTTTAACAACAAAGGTACACAATGAACTAAAACATAAAATAAAAATTTATGCCAAACCAAAATATCAAAGGACTATTATATTAATATAAACAGCTGCATTATTTAACCCTTCACAATTTATATCAAAAAGTTTCAAATTCAGTAATGCATCAATTTTACATTATGCATTAATATTCTATTTTATTGGTCACTAATTCAATAAATGTTTGACACAGCATTTTTATCATCTATTATCATTACATAACAATTATACAGCCTCAAAATCTTACAATTATTTTAAATATAGGCTAGATATAGGACTACTTTATTAGGATGATAAGTTATCAATATAATGCATTTTATACTTATTTATTAATGTAATGTATATGGATAACTTATTTCTTGATTCTAAATATTTTTAACATAAATTTTAAAATTCCTTTTATAGCTTTATATCCTTACAAAGTGTAAAGAAAAATATTTTTTTATTATGCTATTATTAATAATAATTTTATAGAAACTTATCAAGAAATCCAAATAAAATTAATTTTTATATAAAAAATAATTGATTTCAATATTTGAATCATTAAATTTGTAAACCTGTTCAGTTAACTCTTACCAACTTTTCTGCTAAGCATGTATAATCTTTTTATTAAGTAAAATGATGACTCACCAAACTCACCAGCAGTTGAGAAATGCAGACACATTATTTTGTAATTAATATTATTCTTAAAATAATGAAGTTTTTCATTTTACTTTTGTTACTTGATTTTTATACAATAAAAAACAGTTTTTCTTATGCATAGATTATTATTCTTTCAACAATTTTTGTTTAGAATTTAATAACTTATTATTTTTACATTTCATTCTACATCATTTAAAATTCAAAATAAAAAATTAACTGAAATGTTTTTAATTGAGAATTTTAGCAGCAGTATAATTTCAAATATAAAACTACAAAAATATTATTTTTATATAGACAAGGTAGTCCATTTTAATCAATCTACTGGAATAATTCAAAAAATATACATCCTACAAAAGATTATTGAACAAAAAATGTTAGGGTGCAACAAGATGGACTACCTATATTATCATAAATGGCATAACAATCAGTGAAAATTGGGTCAACTTCATTTTCAGAAACCCAGTTTTTTTATTGCATATTATGATCCTTCATCAAAAACAGACTTTTATCTGAAACATTTTTTTGAGAGATGCACTTATAAGAAGTTAGGAGATTTGAACTTTTATGTAGTTGCCACATCATGCATGTGTGTCTGTGGTATCTGTGAACTTTGTTAAAAAAAACAAAAAAAACATTAGGAAATTATCATTATTTGATGGAATCATTCTTTTTCTTCAAATAATGAACTGATACAAAAACTCATGCAAAAGCATTATCAATGGTTACCTAATAGATCCATATTTTTTCTAAGAAAATGTGAACAGGCAAAACTTTCTGGAGTTTATAAGAGATGAACTACCAGTTTTGCTTGAAGATGATGATCTTTGTACAAGGCAAAGAATGTGGATTCAGTTAGCTGGAGCAGTGCCCACTATGAATAAACTTGCATATATACATACAAACTCCAGTCATAATACGAAATATTTATAAATGTTGAACAAATATTTTCAGTGATCCCCTATCTTCAGGTTCTAATGAATTATAATAAATTATTTAAACAGGCACTTTAATGGGAAGTTGATTGGACAACAAACTAATACAATAGCCAGACTTGACTTTATCTGACTTTTAATTTATGAGGCTATTTAAAGAATGTTGTCTACAAACAGGAGCCAACAGTTAGAGAAGATATGATTGAGAGAATTCAGACAGCTTAAGAATGTACCACAAAGCTTTTTATTACAAATTGTGGGACACTTCCAACTGATAAGTGACTTATACATTCTGCAAAATGGATCATCTTATCATCTTATATATACATATAGTTTATATACCTACTTCAAATGCTGAATTTAACAAAAGTTGTTTTTGGAGTTTGAATGACACTTCAAAGTTCGAACTTCTCACACAGTGAAAAATTGTGCTAAAAGCATAAAATAAGCTTCTGAACAAAGAATACAATCTAATGTTAGTAATAATATATTAAACTGCACAAATGTTATAATTAAATCACGCATCTAAATTAAGTAATGTAAAAATACCCAAAATCTTTCTGTTTAATCCAATAAATATAACCTTTACTTATTAACCTCGTCATCCCAGCAGTGTGTGGAAGCAACAAAGTCTAACAAGAGGAAGGCTATAATATTGACAATTGAGATGAAAAGGAAATTTATTGGGAAGCATGAAAGCAGTACACATGGCATCTAGCAGCCACATTTAATATGCTGAAATCAACAGTGTGCAAACAGTAAATGTAATTTTTATTTTATTATATGGTCTTTATGTATTTTATTTATTGTTTTCATGTTTTAATTTATTATTAGTGCATTTAATTGAGTTATTTTTACCTTAAATGACATCTGTTTGTTGTTTCAAGTTTATTGAAATGTGTATTGTTTAGGATCTGGAAATAGATTAATTCACTTTCTATTATGTCTAATAGAAAAAATTGATTTGGACTTCAATTGACCTACTGGATTCAATTAGATTCAAAGTATGAGGCATCATTGCAGTTACAGCAGATGTGCTAACAAAACATCACCTAAGTTTGTTTACATTCTGAAATAGTGTAGAACTAATTATACTAGCTCTTAATGCACTCTGAGCAGAAAAAGTTCTCATATGCTATCTGCCTGATGATAAAATAAAAATGAATTTTCTTAATCCAGCTTTATTAAATCTTTAATCAAAACTAATAAATGTCAATATCAATTAAAAACATTAATAGTATTTCAAAACAATAAAATATACAGCACTAAAATACATTATAGTGAAACATTTAGTAAACAGCTGTCTATGAATAAAAACTCAGTCATTAAGAGGAATGATTATGTAGAAAGCCTTTACAAGATTATATATATAGATATAGCATATAAAAAGTCATTTATTATTTTCAATTATGTTTTAATATGTTATTGTTTATGCTATATAATAACTTTATCTAATTATCATCAATATAAATTTATTTACAGTGAAGCTAACTAGGTATATTTTATTGTATAAAAAATTGGTAATTTGTATAAACAGTTTTATTAATCAGTAATGCTCAGAATAATAAAAATAAAGAAAATGTGATCATTTTACTTCACTTGAAAATGATTTTTGATTAGAGTAAACCACCTACAAATACATTGATTGAAATAAACAACATACCTTGTATATGAAATATATATATATATATATATATATATATATACTATAATTCTATGTCAATTTAAGAAAAGTTGTATTTGTTAAATAGAGTGAACTATTAAATAGTTATTATTAATAATTAATTTTTGATGAATACACATCCTCTAACATATTATTAATTAATCAAATACATATATAGTGACCTCAAAGTTAAACAAGTTCTATACTTCTAGAAATAGTTGATTTAGAAAATTAGATACTCTTTTTATCATTTATTGGATGGTAAATAATAATGCAACATATTGATCTTATTGGTGTACAATTAGAAAATTTATGATCATCATGAATCTTTCCATGAAAATCACAAGACAATGATTTTCTTTAATATTCAACTTAATATATTAATATTGTTCTGATTATGAATATATTATATACTGTTATATACTATATTACATTTTAGCAATATTTTTTATACCTTGCATATATTATACACTTTACATTATATGTAAACTAGATTGATTAAATAATGCTCCATTTCAAATACATAAGAAAGCAATTTCTATACACATATATATTTCAAAAATATATTTCAAATATATATGTGTATAGAAATTGCAACAACAGTCGCTCTCTTTTTTCTTTATTAAAATAAAACAAATATTTAAGTATTTTTTTTATTTCCATGGTAACATATCTAACATATAACATGATTATAGAGCTATGTTATCAACAGAAATACAACAACTACTATATTATACTTTTTATAGATCTACTTGTCAAGATACTTGTACAAACTGTCTGTATGTTTCAAGATGATAAACAATACCTTTAAAAACAACTTTTAGCATATTCATAATTTGTCCATATTCTTGCTGTAAATAAGAATGTTTAAAATAATTTAAAATTACATGTTTCAGTGTAGTATGTGTATATATATATAATTCCAATTTTATTTCGATTAATAAATAATTTAAGTAATCTTATCTATAAACATGAGTAAAATAACATATGAAACACCTGTTAAGTCAGCAAATATTAATAGATAAGGTAATAGTAATATAACACACCTGTTTGGTGCTTCTTTTAATTCCTTTATACACTTTCCATATTAAAGAAGGACCAGAACTTGCTATTAATTTCTCTATTTCATATTCTCTTGTGACTGGATTTCCAGGCAACACAGTACTTAGACTACTGACAGTACTTTTCAGTTTATTTAACATCTCCATCAGAACAGGAGTGTTTTTAAATAAAACAAATTAGATTTTACCTCGATAACGGAGTTCATAAATAAAATTTGTATATAACTGTTACATATCTAATAGTGGATGAAATCTCGAAAACCACTGACGAACGACCAAGTAAATAACATATTCCCTCTGGTGTGAGAAATTTACATTAAAAAAAAAAAAAAAAAAAGATAATAAAATTATTCAATTTTTCTTCTGACATTTACAATTTTTACTTAAAGAAATTCTATACTAATAATAATAATGATGATGATGATGGATTTTGAAAATAGATTAATTTATAAAATATCATGTATAACAAATGAACTTCCTATCTACCACTGGAGGTAATATATTGAATCGCATTTAATCCATTCCTGTTCGATTTTGCACTGTTTGAATTTATTAAAACGGTAGCCTGAAGAAGACCCTGGTAGGGTCGAAAACGTTTGCCAAAAAGAGTAACACTGGGGATTTAGAAGGTTTATATTCAAGTGGAGAGAATTATATCATGTATACTCTGGAAGTTTTTATTTAGTTATTTTCGCTATGCAAGAAGCGTTTTTTCTTTCTAACTCGTTTTAGGTAAAAACATGGCTAAAAATGACATGGCCGGATTGCCGAGTTAGGGAATTAGGGACATAAATAAAACCCTGCTGAAAGAGCCGGAATTTTACTTAAACAAAAGCTTAACCAAACCAATATCTAGCTGAGTACAGTGGAGACTGATTTCTTCGTAATATTAGATGTAATAAAGACAGAAATTTTTCCAGTTCAATGAGAGTGACCGAAAAGTTGTAAACTTTAGAAATTTCCGTGGACACCTGGTCCTAAAATGAATTAGTTAGAAAACAAACGACGGACAATCTATTAACATATTTAGATTTTTACAGCTATGAGAAAAACGTTTAAAATGTACAGCAACCCTGTCGCGTCTTTTGAGGTATATTAGTGATGCGACAAAAGAGGAATTTGACATTGACCAGTATCGGCAACCTCGTGCATGCACCTACCAGGATCGTCTCTGATTCCATCCATTAGTCACTCGTAGGGCGCTATTTGACTAAGTTAGGGGTCCCCAAACTTTTTATCCCTTCGACCCCTTTATAGAATATTTGCCTTCTTATCGACCCCCAGATTATGTATTTAATAAAAACATTAAATCCTTTTTGCATTTCTGATGTTAAGCGATAAGGAGACCCGCGTAACAACTCAACAAAAGAATTTATAGTTCCCATTTCTTATAAAATCCACCCAATAACTTTAACAGAAAAAAGAAGATATTTTCCACTAATTTATAATCTTAAAAAATAATAGCGAAATTATGGATAGATGGAAATATGCCTATAATTTTTAAACCGTACGTGTCATAATACGTAAAATACACAATTATTTTTGAAAACATAACAAGTTATATTGGGTGAAAAAGAAACCTCTTACTGTCATTTTGCGACTACTACTGAATGCCTTAAAAATATGTTAACATAACTTTTTATTAAAATAGTTGATATTAGTGGGATGGATGTCTCTGAAGAGAAGCGGCAAGATTATTGATATTCGGTTGAAAATTGGTAAGTTTTAGTCGCAAATCACCACGGTTTTCCAAGTTCAATCTGTTCCTCTGTTTTGTCAAAATAGCGTTCTCGTGGCTAAAATCAGCCTCAACCACATATGAAGTTGGGAATGCGAGTAAGAAAGGTTCGGCTTGCTCTGAGCTTGGGATATTTAGTGGCAATATTGTTATTGCTCCAAAATTCACTGAGGTTTTTATTTTTAAACAACGCTTTAGTTTCGAGATCTACATATATTTCACTCGGTTCATCTTCTAAGCAGGTTCACTACCTTCATTATCTATTTTTACATCAAATGGATTAGCAAATCATTCGGGAACACGCATATTCTCCAAATCTTCGAAACGTGCTTTAAAGTCTTCTCTTAATTTATCAAGATGTTTAATATACTTTATATCTCCAAATCATGGTCGGAAAGCTTTTCATTTTCTTTCTTTCTTTCGTCTCCTCCCCGGTTCATGTGGAGATTATAGTTTCATTTTCTTCGCAAGTTTGAAAAATATTTAAAATCGTTGAAGATTTAAATAGCTTTATTTTTAATTGAAAGGCCATTATGATTGTTCGAGCTCGAACAATTGTAACGTTTTTTCCTTGCAAACGCTTCTGTACTATATTAATTATCTTCGATATATTACGATATTTACTCTGTAAAGGACAAAATATCTACATTTTGATATAAAATACTTAGAGCGACAACCCTACTAGAATGTAACTGCAGTGTAACGTATGTCTGTGTATAATGAACTACCAGTGTTCGTAACATGTTTGTAACACTAGTACAGTTGTCAGATGAGTGAAACCAGAGTAGCACATGCTTAAAGCGGCGTAGGCTAAGGCAAAACTCAAGTTATAACTAGGGTAGTCAGTAATGTTGTTGATCATATCCGTATTTCGAATTTTTATTGAAATATTCTATATTTTTCCTAGACAGTTTTATTGATCCTCTTTGGTATTAATCGACCCCCTTTCGACCCTCGTGTATTAATCGACCCCTGAAGAACTCTTATCGACCCCAAGGGGTCTATATCGACCACTTTGGGGACCCCTAGACTAAGTAGATTGGTTTAAGATTTAAAAAGTAAAGAAGATTTTATGTTATTTTTATGTACGTTTCTTCACAAAGCTATATTTAATTATAATTTTCTTTAAAAATATATTCATACAATTGAAGAATATTTTGTACCAGGTATGTACTGTACATTTTACCAAGTAAGTTTTTATTATTTTATTTATAATTTTAGCCCTTATATCGTGGCTAGCGATTCAGAATGTAATTGTGATATTAAAAATACATTTAAAGAAGTCTACGGTTTTTACTGACTTATGGAACAAAACCCTAGACTGAAATTAACTGATAGCCCCTGGAAGTCGGCTTCTTAGAGAAACACAGCTTCTCTATCATCAAATATCATGGCACACCACTAATGAGAACGGATACATAAATCGTAAATTTAAGGAAAATAAATTCTAGAGCTTTTCTGTACCTCCTGCGTCTCTCTCATTAAATTTAGTTGTAAATGATGCTGCCAAAGTAACAGTTAATTTTTTAACATTGTACAAGAATTGTAAACCTTTTTTTCTACATCCCTTTATAGATGGGATATAGGAAATCGTAATATCACTGGTTTAACATTGAAATCCGTAAGTAATATAAGATCGGAAAGCAGAATAAATATATCAAATATTTTAATGGACTTTTTAACTCTTTTCAACTATACAGAACTATCATAAAAACGTACCAGTAAATTCTTATCAGTTTGGTTAAGTTATAAATCTATAGCGAATAATCACATAATCGGGCGAGGGCGGCTAACAGCCCAGAACCGGTCCTGGATAGAATCGTTGGAAGCATTGTTTGTGTGTAGCTTCCACCATGAGGTTGGTGCTCTGTAAAGCGCGTGCGTGAATGCCTATAATCTGGCTGCGTGGAAGCTGACCCGGTTTCGACAATACAGCGCTTCCATTTTGCCATTGATATTTGAATATACCATGGGCAGAGTCAGTAGATTAACTGGTCTTTCGACTAATAGTTCAAACTTAGCTAGAGATATTTGCCACTAGTTGGCGCCACTGTTAGCAGAAGAGCGTTGTTCTTGTTATGTGTTTACTGAGGTCAGTGATTTCGACTTATAATAATTATGTTTTTTAGCTACATAAAAATGCTAACGTGCTTTGTGCCAGGATGCAAGGCAGGATATAAGTCATCGAACGAGAAGAGACATTTTTTTCCGTGTTCCTAGCGATAAGATTGAGGAGTGGATGCGATACATTCCACCAGATGACAAGATGCTAACAAGTAAATGTTACATTTGTGACGTACATTTTGCGAGTAGATTTATTTTAATTAATTAATTTGTATCTCAACCGGCAGAAAATTCTGCCGGCTGAGCGTCTAGCAGCGACGTATTTTCTCAGCCCGGCAGAAAAATCTGCCTGCTGAGAAAATATGTCGTGAAAAAATATTTTTTGAGAACTATAAATGCTAGACTTATGCAGTTTTCGCGATTGTTTTCTTCTGAGTTTATTTTACATAGAAAAAATTGTTTTTGATTTTATTTTTAAATAAATTTGGCATTTTCGATTTTTTATAGAAATAGACCTGGTACAAAGCTCAAGGTCATCTATAGTCTAGACGAAAAAGTTCTGTTTTCTATATTTTTCTTCAATTTTTGTGCTAATTTTTGTGATATTACAAATTCCTTTAGTTCATTACATATTTCCATTATACTACTCATGATTTATGATGATAATTTTTATTTATTTAAACGTAAATGCAATGTATAAAAGTCATTTTTGTTGCATTTATAGTTATTAAGTTAGTTTTTGTACTAATTTCATCTCTTATATGTTTGTTATTGACAACTTTCTGTTATTTTTAACATTTTTATTCAACTTTGTTAGTTACTTTACAAGATAATATTGTAAACAGAAGCACATGTCTTTTGCAGTGACCTGAGAGGTCATGTGACCACATTAATACGTGGTGACGCCATTCAACTTCCTGTTTTCTCCTTGTGACGTAATATAAAGTCAAATCTAAAAAGTCAAAATAATTCGTAATATTAAATATTTTACATTATTTAAATATATTATTTCACTAGATGAATTCATTTATTGTTTAGATATTTATAAAAAATTACATAAAAATATATTAATTAAAGAATTAAATGAATTTTATTTTGAATCTAATAATATTATTATTAGAAAAAAACAACAGATAAAACATTCGAATTATTTTTTAATATATTAATAAGTTAAACTTTTTTTATAATATATAAAACATACTAGCGGATAAGCTTACCCTGCGATGCTCGGACATATATATAATAGTACGTTTATTCGCGTGCAATGTTGTCTCAAAATTTTAAAGCAATCGGCGAAAATATTGCATTAATTTAAGAATTTGAACATACCAACGTTACATTTTTATTTATATAGATTATTTGAGTATAGTTTCTGTTGTGATCTTCAGATGGCATTGTAAATGTAATTCCGTTTTATCATCTTTTTTAATTAAGGAGTGTTACGATTTGCTGAAGTTGTTGCTCTAATGCACTGATAACGAGAGCGC